CCAGGCGCCAGGCTGGCATGCAGTGGCGCGATCTCGGCTCACTGCAACCTCCGCCTCCTGGGTTCAAGCAATTCTCCTGCCTCAGCCTCCTGAGTAGCTGGGACTACATGCGCCGCCACCATGCCCAGCTAATTTTTTTTTGTATTTTTAGTAGAAACGGGGTTTCACCATATTGGCCAGGATAGTCTCGATCTCTTGACCTGGTGATCCGCCCGCCTTGGCGTCCCAAAGAGCTGGGATTACAGGCGTGAGCCACCAAGCCCGGCTTTTTTTTTTAAATGCAGGTGTCAGTGTGCCGCTTGGGACTGTCTGTCCGCTGCCTGCCTGTGGAGGCGCTGCTGGGCTGCCGCGGTCTCAGCCCGGCAGCTGTTTATTCTTCGCCTGGTTTCTGCATAGGCAAGTGGGACTAGCCCCGCCTTCCCAATGGAGGGCTTCTTTCCCTCGGTGGAGTCCCGCTGCTCCCAGATTGAGCTCGGTCTGATGTGTTAACTGTGAAACTCTCCCAGGAGAGGGATTCCGCTTGCTGTGTCTCGTGGGGGTTGGACCTTTCTGGCCGTATCCCCCTCCCTGCTTTCAACTCACCCCTTCCTATGTGGGTCAGGCAGTTCCTTCTCACAAGCCTTCTCGTTGTTAGTCCAAGCCTCCGCCCTGGACTGCGCTGACAAGGCAGCGGTCTGGCAGGAGCTGCGGGCTGTACCCGCCGCGTCTGCAACTTGGGTCGGTTCTCAGCCAGGTGGTGTTTTCCTGGGCTGTGTGCTGCGGCAGTCACACGGAGTGAAGCGCTGTATCTGAATCGTAGTACCAAGGAGGTGAAGTCCCTCTATCCTACGTGCCAAATACATTTTCCAGGTGGGGCAGTGCCTCTCCTTGCCTTGACTCACCCCCTTTGTGCTGCTTTCGCTGGCTTTTTTTGGGTTAATCCTGCCGTTCAACCAGTCCCTTTGAAACGAACCCTGTACCTTGTTCGGAGATACAAATATCACTCTGGTTCTGTCTCAGTTGCTGGGAGCTGAGCTCTGGAGAAGCTCCCATTCGGCTTCCCTGCCCCCACCCCGATTTTTTTTTTTAACCCAGCTCTTTTTTCTGTTCCTAATTTTTTTTGGAGTTCATCTGGAAATGCCAAGCTTGGTAAAATCATGGGCAATAGAAAGTATAAATAGGCTCTTACATGCTGAGATATTCTTTTCAAAGTGTATAAAATATTTAATGTATTGACTTTTGATTTGGCTGCCCAAGTTCCTTCCACTACTAATTAGTGGCTTTTGCTTATTATTAGGTAAGTTTACTAAGATTATTTGCTACATACTAGTGCAATAGTTATATATATTTAGAATAATGCTTGTCACTTAAGGTAAGTCAGGGGTTTTTAATATGAAGGCCAATCAATAGGCTTTAAGGAGCTATTGAAATCCCCCAAATTGTATATGAAATGCTTTTAGACAATGGATCTACAAATGTTAAGAACAGCTTATTCTTTCGGTAAATATTCATTTGAACACCTATTCTGTACCAAGCACTTTGTCAGCTAAGAGAGGCCAAAATTATGTTCTCCCTAGTTCTTTCTGATTATTAATACTCTTCTTCTTCTTTTTTTTTTCTCCAGGAAAAACAAGAATGGTGGTGGCTTTACATTGCAGATAGGAAAGAGCAGACATTAATATCCATGCCATATCATGTGTGTACACTAAAAGATACAGAAGAGGTAATTACCAAACAACATTATTTCAGTATTTAACGAAGCACAACTTACCATCATGCTGCTTCATTAATCTTTTTTAAAAAAGCAGTTGATCATATTTGGCATATTGTATTCTATTCATTGCCTGCATTTTGTAACTGTTCTCTGAATGTTTTGGGAGTAAGCTCATTGGAAATTTATAAATAATTGTTATAGGTAGTCAACTTAGTGTTTTAAAAACTTGTTCTCAGCTTGTTTTGGGAGTCTTCACTGTTAGTGTCTAAGAATATATGCCTTTCCTCCTCGTCCTCTCCAGAATTTAGTGATACAATTTTTGTTCTTACTGCATTAGTGCTAAGTATTATATATTTTGTCTAAAAAAAAATCTAAGAACTGACAGTGTGGATTTTTTGAGTGAAATTTTTGATGGGCCAGAAGCTCTGGATGTTTGTAATTTTGATCTATATTGCTAGATATTTATTTCTCTATAGAAAGAATGAATGTCTAAACATGCCCATTGCCTCTTAGCATGTCAGACATTTTGAATATCATTGCTAGTTGGAAAGGTGAAAAGTAGCATCTTAGATCTTAGTGTTATTTTTTCCTCTGAATTTTTTTTTTTTTTTTTGAGACAGGATCTGACTCTGTCACCCATGCTGGAGTGCAGTGGTGCAGTCTTGGCTCTCTGCACCCTCTGCCTCCCAGACTCAAGTGATCCTCCCACCTCAGCCTCCCAAGTAGCTGGGACTACATACGTGTACAACCATGCCTGGCTAATTTTTTGTATTTTTTGTAGAGACAGGGTTTACCCATGTTGCCCAGGCTAGTCTCAAACTCCTGAGCTCAAGAGTTCCACCCTCTTTGGCCTCCCAAAGTGCTGGGATTATAGGCATGAGCCACTGTGTATGGCCTCTCTGATCTTTTAAGTTTTAAAACCTATTGAAAAGTTACAAGCACAGTATCATGAAACCTCCCTGGATTCCCACCTATATTTACCAGTTGTTTACATTTAGCCGTTACTTGTTTTATTTTTCTCTCACTATATGTGCACATACAAAACATGCACGTGTATGTATATGTTCCCCTGAGCCATTTGAGGTACTTGTAGACATCATAACATGACACCCCAACTACTTGACATGTATCTCTTAGGAACCAGGGCCTTTGGCTGGGCATGGTGGCTCACATCTGTCATCGCAGCACTTTGGGAGGCTGAGGCAGCTGGATCACTTGAGCCCAGGAATTCAGGAGCAGCCTGGGCAATGTGGAGAGACCAAAAAACCAGGACCTTCTCCATAGGCCCACTACAAAGATTGTACTCAGGAAATTTAACATTGATATGGGATAATTATCTAATATGCAGTCTGTATTCAAACTGCAAAAACGATTCCGCTAGTATCTGTTATAGTTTTTTGTTTTATTTTTAAAGTCAGGAGCTAATCAAGGATCACACATTGTAGCTGGGCATGGTGGCTCATACCTGTAGTCCCAACTTAACTCAGGAGGCTGAGGCAGGAGGATCACTTGAGCCCATGAGGTTGAAGCCGAAGTGAGCCATGATCACACTCCTGTACTTCAGTCTGGGCAACAGAGTGAGACCCTGTATTGAAAGAAAGAAAAAGTGATTTTACATTATACTTGGTTGTCATACCTTTTTAGTCTTGAATACTTTCTTGTCCTTGTTCTGTTTTAATCTTTCCATGCCACTGATATTTTTTATGACTCTAGGCAAGGTATTTTGTAGAATATCATTTAATATGAATTTGTCTCATTGGTTACTCATTATTATGTCCATCTTACATGTTTTTGGCAAGCACCCTATGTTGGTGATGTGCCTTAGTGCATTATGTCAGAGGTACAGTAAATCACTTTGCCCTCTGTTCATGATATTAAGGTTGCTCATTTAGTTAAGGTTTTTCTCTATTGTAGAGGTATTTTTCTCCCCCTCTAATCTGTGGGTTGATATTTAGGCCATGTGTGAATGTCCTATTCTCCAACAGTGCTTTACCCATTCATTTTAAGCATATATCGATGATGCATGTCTGAATCAGTTTTTACTCTGCTCATTCTATTCAGTGTAGTTTTTATTTCTCTGAAGATTGAAACTTAACACCTTCCTTGTGTTTGAGTCATCTTTTTTATGTGTCTGTTTGTGACCATTATTCCCTTTGGTTGTCTTAAAAAATTGGTTTGGGGCTGGGCGCAGTGGCCCATGCCTATAATTCAAGCACTTTGGAGGCCAAGGTGGGCGGATCACCTGAGGTCGGGAGTTCAAGACCAGCCTGACCAACATGGTGAAACCCTGCTTTATTAAAAAAAAAATTGATTTTTTTTAAGTTATTAAAATTTTTTAATAAAAAAAAGTTAAAATTTTTTTTTTTTTTTTTTTTTTTAATTTAAGAAATTAGCCCTTTGTGATACATGTTGTAAATATACCTCCCCAGTGTGTTTTACTATTCTGGTTGTTTCTACCAGACAGAAATATAAATAGCTATTTGTTTATCCATTTTCTTATTTATTTTTTGTAGTATGATTTAAAGAGTCTTTTATAATTTCTAGGTTTGTGTTAACAGGCCAAACTGAGATTAATTTAAAGAAAAAGATTCCTTTGTGATTTTTTTCTAGTTTTCAAAAACTAGCATATTTTAATATTTAGTCTATAAAATATGGATTTTGGAGATTGGAGGCAGATCACCAGAGCATTCAAATGTCATTTAAAAAAAAATTGTTCTTCTTTTGTCCAAGTGGGATAGAAACTTTTTTACTGTTTGTATTTGCAGTTCGTGATTTGTTGGTTAATAAAATATCTTCTTGACCTTTGGTATTGGGCATTTATTCTAGAAATAAGAAAATTTGGCGAGAAGTGTCTCCTATCTAGTGAAGTCTGTTGTTTTATTCCAACATTTCATTGTTTATGCTTTTATATCTACTAAATTTCTTCAGGGTGATAGCATAGAATTTGATTGCTTTAAGTATTGCTTTCTTGAATTGCAGAGATACAATTTTACCTCATCAGTTATGCATAATTTGATTTCGTCTTTGTGAGGCATTTATAATATGTTCACTTTTTTTTTTATTATTTATAAGGACTTTAATAACATTTGTTGGGATTTTCTATATCATCTAAGTAAACACCTGGCTGTTAAATACTGTGGTCTAGGAATTTTAGGGAGTGAGCTGTTTCCTCCCCAAAATACAGATTTTTAAGTGCTGATTTTATCTTCTAGGTAGAGCTGAAATTTCCTGCACCAGGCAAGCCAGGAAATTATCAGTATACTGTGTTTCTGAGATCAGACTCCTATATGGGTTTGGATCAGATTAAACCATTGAAGGTAAGAAAAGTGACTCTTCGGTAAATAATAGTTTGCTGTGTAAGTGTTTAATACACTAGGAAAACATTTCTAGTTTTAAAATGTAGAGTCATGGAAGGAAGAAGTAGTCATCTCATACTTTATATGTGATACACTTGATGGACTACTCTTGCAATAATAAACTTAAGGTTTTAGGTTTTTAAGGAATATAACAATTTAGAACATTGAAATTTCAATTACTTTAGAGATACATTTTAATGTGCTGTAACTTTATAAGGCCTGCAAATGGGTTCCGTTTTCATTAGAAAAGCATATATATATATATTTACCACAGATTCTATTTGGAGTATTTATTATTTCTGAAACTAATTTATTTTTATCATATTTGAGCATATACTTTCTGTATCATTTGCAGCACACGCTAATCTTTGTTTACCAATTCACTTGAGCTTTTGATAAACGGTGTCCTATTGGAGAGATGGCGCTAAAAGTATTATTGCACTATAAAGGGTAGAAGTAGCCAGTAAAGGCCAACCTCTTTTTTTCCATGAGGGTTCCATATTTCTTTTATTAGCTATGGAATTGTACATCACAAGTCTTGAGACTGCAAAATATCTCGGGTTTTTCTTCCTTCAGTAGAAGGCTTCTATTAAGATACGAGTCAGTGTTCTTGCTCAAGAATCACAATTATTTTATGCCACAGAACTACATGCATAAGTAGTATAACATATAGGATCAGAATACCAAACTCGTATTAGAAATTTTACTACATTCACATATTGTTATATTTAGTTGTTTTATTTCTGGGATGAAGTATCTATTCTAAATGAATAAGTTGAATTTAGAAGTATATCCATAAAAATCTATTTCTTTATAATTGCTGTGATCAAAGAAAACCTTTTATTTACCGGATTTCTTCCATTACTTCTCCCCAAATTTCTGATGTCTGTATTTAATTCTTCTTTCTAGTTGGAAGTTCATGAGGCTAAGCCTGTACCAGAAAATCACCCACAGTGGGATACAGCAATAGAGGGGGATGAAGACCAGGAGGACAGTGAGGGCTTTGAAGATAGCTTTGAGGAAGAAGAGGAGGAAGAAGAAGATGATGACTAAGCAGTACTATGAAAGGACCACAGTGTTTGCAGATATTTGCAATTTGTTGCCGTTTTGGAAGTGTAAAATAAACCAGAAACAGTACAGAACTGATGTTGAGGGAGGTGTAGTTTTTTTACTCTGGAAATGGGTGCATAATATAACTAGGCAGTGGCGGTGCCTTGGTACAACCTGAAAAATGTTAGGCTTGTTGAAACCTTTCAAGTATGGGCTGGTGCATTTATTTCATCTGCAACGAAAATAAATCCTTTGTTATTATAACTGTCCGGAAGTGTGGGCTATGTATTATCTGATCAATCTATGGTCCCAGTAAAAGTAAAGACACAGGAGACACAGTCTATAAACGAGCGACTTTTCTTTGTTCGGCTTTAGTTTTAGCAAACATTAAAGTATGTTAAACACCACAAATGTTTTAAGTAACATCGCTCAAGTTTATAATCTCTTGATAAGCTCTATTATTGACATTTTGCAGTGATACAAGACTGTAACGGCTCCATTCATAGATTTAAACTTTTATTTTTACTTATCTTGGTCATAAGTTGGCATTCTCTCACATTCCACATGATATAGAGGGCTGTGTTTTGGAATTTTCCTTTTCTTAATTGCCCAGAGTTATCAGACAGATTATAAAAATGGCTTTTAATGGCTTAAAACATTTCTAAACCTCTTAGCAGATCAATGCAGGATCTAATACTTTTGATAAGCTGTAGGTCTAAAAGTATTAGTGGGACCGTATGTTTTCTCATACTGGTGGCTTATGTTATTAAACCTTTTTTTAAAAAGGTTCACTATAAAAGCTGAACTACATCCTTAGTTTTCAGTCTACCTGACTCTATCAGAAGCTTTTTAAGGAAAGTAAGTATAACATGCAAAGGAAGCTTTTTTTTGTATTCATTTTGGACTTCTGTCAATAAAAATAGAACTTTGTTGACTCATTTTATGTTTCAATGGTGTGTGTCTTTTTACTGTAAGAGAAAGGACATAAATAGGGCAATCCACTCCTTTACTTTTCAGCTAAAAGTTGAATAATATTGTACATTACTGCTAAAGTGACTGCTATTTCTGTATGCTACAGAAAAACCCAGGAGTGAGAGGGATTCCCCCTCATAGTATAGCTGGAAGGATAGTGCTTATAAAGAGTAGAGATGTGTACATGATGAATCATTGAGGGAGGGTGAATATTTTTATTCCTAGGTATGGAGGAAGCATAAGTCTGTAGTATTACAAAACTGATTGTAATAATCCTCTCCTAAAATTTGCAATGTTGTTTACTTAAAAGGTTGCCACTTTCAGTGCAGAATTACCACTGTAATTCTTATGATTGCAGTAGTTGGAAATACAAGTTGAAAATCACCAAAACCATGAATGGTTTTTTTGGTTCTAAATGTAGGATGTAGTATTTCCTATCATGGTCAAAGGAGTTTTTTTCACTGTAACCTCAGTCACCAGTTTAGTGAGACCCTTTCTTGGCAGGCAGGAGGCAGTGTCACTGAGGATTGTTTTCATTTACTTCATTGTACAAGTAAGAGGGTGGGTTTAATTTTCAAATCAGATTTTGCTGTGAAGCACCAGTGTCTTGAGGCAGCTACTGATTACCTAAACGTGGTGGCGGGGGTGAGCCAGCTGATGTCAAGTGAAAGGAGGGATTAGAGAAAACAGGTGTGGCATGAAGGCAAGCAAAGTGAGCAGACAAGACACAACGATGTGTAGAACGTGCATTTCCTAGTTTTCTTGAAAGATTTCAGGAAAAATACTTCTTTTCTAGTGGCTATTTTGCCTTAAAGAGGCTTTATAAGTTCATTCACACAGCTGGCTTCTCTCTGGCTTTAAGACTCTGGAGAGGATGGTAACCTAGTAAATCACCACAGTGCTTAAAAAAAACAACCATCACCAGAAAATTCCACCAGTTTGTTTTCCTCTTCTCTATTTGTATATACATCCCAACCAAGTAAATTTTCCTCTAGTGAGTAATTTAGGTAACCTCTTTCCATATTGCAGTAGTGAAAGAACTGAGCCTTCAGTTGACAGCAAGTCACTAAAATCCACGTCCCTTTTTTCCTCTCGAATGAGAATAACAAACTACTCACCCTAGTTTGCATTTAATTTAATGGAAACTTGCGTGAAGTTTCAATTTTCTTCCTATAAAAAAATACCCTCTGCTTTGCCTCTCCCAGCTTGCACTGAAAGCTGGAAAAGGACAGGCCCGTCCAGCTGTAGTGTTCCACCATGTGCTGGGAAGCTCAGGCCTGGTGGAAGCAGAGGGGCGTGGATGTCAACTGATATGGAAGCAGGAGGGGAGAGATACAAGGAGGCTCTCTGGGCACGTTATTTTTGACCACAAGCTTTATTGTTTGCTTCCGCCAATCCAAACCATATACTAGAATGTTCTGTAGTCACAATTGTTATTTCAAATGTAATTTGGCATCTTATATAATTTTTGAGGGACTATCATTCATCATGTATTTACTTTCTATGTGCCAGGGTCTGTGATTGGATACTGGAGCTGTCAAAATGAAAAAAATTAGTGTTAAGAACCGGCTCGCTGGTATTAGATCAGGTAGATGAGTGGCAATTCATTTAAATCCATTTGCCTTGGTTATTGTTTGGAATGCCATTTTTTTTTTTAAGTCTGTAGGCAGAAGAATTATATCTTTAGGGGCTAGCTATTTAATTTGCTGGCTTTTTTTCTCTCTCTTTTTCTTTTTGAGACAGAGTCTAACTCCATCACTCAGGCTGGAGTGCAGTGGTGTGATCTTAGCTCACTGCAACCTCTGCCTCCCAGCTTCAAGCGATTCTCCTGCCTCAACCTCCTGAGTAGCTGGTACTATAGGTGCATGCCACCACACCCAGCTAATTTTTGCATTTTTAGTAGAGACGGGATTTTGCCATGTCCAGGCTGGTCTCGAACTCCTGACCTCAAGTGATCAGCCCTTCTCAGTCTCCCAAAGTGCTGGGATTACAGGCATGAGCCACTGTGCCCAGCCTGTTGGGTTTTTTG